CTCTAGGCCCAATCCCCTCTCAATTGACACTTCTTTAGCCCCCTCCTCAGGAAATCTCACCCAGTCCTGAGGCTATTGCTGAATTCAATTGCTGGCCCCCTCAAAGCTCCCATTCCCAGTGCCTTTAGGCAGAATGTGCCTGCCCCTACCATCCCTACAGACTCCAGACTCTCTAGGAAGGCACCTCTCAACTGCCTAGTTACACATGCCATAACCCTAGTGCTCATCCTTGATACCTCTTATACCTCAGTCCCCAATTTCAGTCCTTCCCAAGCTCTTGATGGTCTCCACTACTCATGCTCTTCATGGCTCCACCCCAATCCAAGCGCCACCACCTCTCACCTGATCACTGAAATAACCACCAACTGATCTCCTGCTCTCCCCCTGGTCCTTCTCCCCACAGTGGCTTTTATTTTCAGTTAAAGTAAAATTTTAATGCCTGTTGCATTCAGGCTCCAGCTTCAGAGGAGCTTAGCACTACTCACATAACAGAAACAATCTCTCGTGCCTCAAAAAATATGCTGACATTCCTGCCTTAGAGCCTTTGCAAGAGCTGTTTCCTCTGTGAATTGATTTCCAGTTCTTCTCTGGCTGACTTCATTTTACCTCAGGACTCTGATCAACTGTTAATACCTCCAAGAGGCCTCCCACACCACCCTTTCAAGAGGAGTGGGAAGGGGTATACACAGCCTTGAACCCCACCATTACTCTCTACATCTCCCTTGTCAGTTTCCAGAATCTGAACTTACCCACTCATTTCAAGTGTCTCCTTTCTTCTCTCCTTTATGTCCCCACTGGAATATAGACCATAACTCCTTAAGCCCAAGAATCTTCTTTCTCACGCACTTATTTATCCACTTGTTAACCTAGAAATGAAGAGATGAAATGATAATCAAGCATTTACTTTGGATTAAACAATTGCAATTTGGGGAAGTTTCAGGTAGGAACCTAACAAGTGTCCACGGAAAGGGTAAAAGTTGAGTAAGATGAGGCACATGGTCAAAGGATGGAGTCAGTGTTAACAAGTCTGAACTGTTTTGGCTACACACAGTTGGTTACTGATTCTGTCCTCAGGTGAATGTGATCCCGATGTCTATTTCCCTGCAGGGTTTCTCCAAGGCCTTGCAGCTGAGTGCTAACAGGCAACAAGCTGTTTTCCACCATGACAGCTTTGAGGTCATTTTTCATATTAAATTTGTAGCTATTCAGGTGAGATTTGCACAAATCAGTGGGAGAGGGCACATGCAGACAGGATGAAGCCCTGGGGCAGTGTTCCTGCCAGGTGCCTTGGGAGCAGCAGAGCCAGCCCCTCTGCTCCTCCTCCCTCCCCACCTACAGGATTTGGGGACAGCCCTAGTGTAAGGGCAGGAATGGACACAGTGCAGCTTTTCTGATCCAGCAGACCGGTTAAAGGAGGAGTCAGAGCCCTCAGTGGTTTTTGCAGGTCTTTTATTTAGATTTACCAGGCACATGGCAGGCAGGGGTGCTGGGGGTCTGGGAGGTTGGCAGTCTTTATCTGGGCTCTCTCCTCTCCCTCTTCCCCTTCTCTTCCCCTCCTCCTCCCACTCTTGGCTTCTGTTCATTCTAGGCTTCTGCTGGAGTCCCCAGGACTCCGCCCTTATAAACTCTGTCTCTCAGCCCAGGTGTACCCACTTCAGGTGCCCACCATCAGGCATGCATGCAGGACAGCAGGGTTCCCTCCTCTATCCTAATGGCGGGAGGGCAGAAAAGCCTGATACTTTTTCCTTACCCTACACCTGGACATGGGAGCAGGCTGGCTTCCATGGGGAAATGCACAAGGCCATTTGCCAGAACCACAGCTTTCTGCTTCTGGATTGAACTAAAAAACACCACCTAAAATACAAGCAGCGCCCACCCACCCCAACCTGGGCTGTAATTGGAAGGAAGGAGAGGAGGCAGCTTCACCAAGCCCTCACTCAACTCCTGGCAAAGGAGTAGGGGCCCCCCAAAATTGAAGCGGTGGGGGAAACCAAAATAAAATGACAAATTGTGACTTGAAGATGAAGTCAAGAGGGACCAACCAAGGGAGGACCAGGACAGGCCAGGCTTTGAAGGGGCCTCTGTGGGCTCCAAGATCACTGCAGCCACCACCCCGCCCTGGAGGCCAGGTGCTGGGCCATGGCCTTAATGGCAACAGCTGCTTCCTCCTTGTGACCTTATTTTATTTATTTTTATTTTATTTTTAGTATCCAAAAGGTCAGATTTACTATAAAAGGAAAAAGAGAGAAGCTTGCAGACAGAGTGGCAGGAAAAGCAGCTGCTCCTGCTCTGCAAAGAGAAAAGGTTTGTACAAAGAAACAGATGGCAGGAGAACTGTCCTGACCTTATTTGAAAGTGACTTCACTTCTTCTTGTTCTTCACACTGTACCTAGATTTAGGACTAGCAGGTACAGACGCTTGTGTTGAATAAAGGAATGAGTGAGCGAGAGCAAACTCCTCTTGCCAAATCAGATTCCAGCAGGACTTACTGGACTGCTGAGTATTGGCCAAACTCTCACCCAGGCTTACGACGCAAGGGCAGGGCGGCTCAGGGAGCTGCTCTGAGAAGGAGGTGCTGAGGTTCTAGGTGGTTGGGCCCCCAGGACTGACTTGCAAGGCTCAGATGGAAGTTGACTCTATCAAGGTTTTACAGCTAATAAACAGTGCAGTCTTGCTACCTGGGAGGGATCCAGGCCAGGCCACAAAATGAAAACAATTTAGAAATGACCTTAATGCCCTTTACTCAAGGAAATGCAATCAGTGGATTGGAGGTGGGGGTGGGAAGGAGTGCTCACAAGCAATGGGCCACTATTCCTGAGAAATCTGGGGCAAAAACAAGTTAGAGAGAGAGCTGGGGATGGAAATGCAGAATAGAGCACGATTGGTAGGGATTGCCAATATCTCACATTATTTCAAAAGCTCAAAGAACAAGGAAATCAGTGTAAGGCCCAGAACTGGCTTGGTGTGTGGGGGTGTAAAGGGCAGGAATGGACACAGAGCAGGTTTTTTGATCCAGCAGACCGGGTAAAGGAGGAGTCAGAGTCCTCAGTGGCTTTTGCAGGTTTTTATTGGGATTTAGTGGGTACTTGGCAGGCAGGGGTGCTGGGGGGCCGGGAGGCTGGCAGTTCTCCCAGCCCCCAGCAGGTTTCACTCTATCTGGGCTCTCCGGCGTGCTGCTTCTCTCAGCTTCGCTTTTGGCTTCTGCTGGCGTCCCCGGGACTCCACCCTTAAAAGCCCAGTCGAATCCCATCTACCTATGCCCACACCCTACTCCAGGTGCCCGCCATCAGGCATGCATTCAGGACCACAAGGATCCATCATCTATCCTGATGGCGGGAGGGCAGAAAAGCCTGATACCTTACCCTACAGGAGGTCAGCTGACTGGATGTGCTGCCTTGTGGTCAAGCATCACATTTATAGGAACAGGAAGATTCAGAACTGACCTGGCACCCAGGGCAGGATTGCCTCCATCCTGGGCCTAAGAATTCTCATCAACAGGAGTAAGGTGACAAGTACTTAGTCTTTTTTTTTTTTTAACCCTTCACTTTACTCTCTGGCATTAGTAAATGAAATCACTTAAATGAAGAAAAGTTCAAATGTCAGAATCAAATACCAGGAAAAAAAAATTAAGCCTGAATGTGAATTAGGGCTCAGGGGGAAATGAATAAGCTCACTGGAGTAGCAGGCTGAGGACACAGTAGGTCTACAACCATCAATACTCCAAGTGCAGGAAACTGGATGGGATAAATGGCTTCATATTTTTTTTTTCTTTTTTTTTAAATGGCTTCCTTTCTTCAACAGATATATGTCAAGGAGAAAAAAAAGGTAGGGGGGAATTTATAAGCTAAATTTCAATTTTGTGATCACGTAATCATGTAATCTTGTAATCAAGAGACTGAAATGACATAGCAATTATATTAATTGAATCCAGTGGTGTAGAACCTGTTTGGATTGCGTGGGAAGAAATTTGCCACGCCACAAAATATCTATCTTTTGATATGAGGATTTTTTTACTGGTAATTTTGGGGAAATAGGCATAGAAGAGCTCTAACAGTTGAGCGGAGTTGCCTTTTTGTAAGACACATTTATATGCATAAAGGAAAATCCCTACTTGTGAGAGTGACTCCCAGGTTTTAACAGTTAGCAGGGATTGACCAAGTCTCTTTAACCCTTATTAAGGGAGGAGCAGCCACTTCAGTCTGCACACCCACCACACCTTTGGGTGCTGGGCTATCCCGTGTTCTCCCACAACTGACTCCCTGCCTTGGTGCTTGTCTGCCGTGAAGATGTTATTTTCAGAGGTGACTTAGGCCATTTTGGTGGGTTCTTCAGTTTTCCTGGGTCTTTCCCAATCATGTATGTAGGACGTCTACATGCTATTAAGATTTATTTTTCTCCAACTCTTCTGCCTTTTATGACAGGAATGTCTCAGTTAAGAACCCCACAGGAGGGCTTCCCTGGTGGTGGAAGGGGTTAAGTCTCAGCTCTATCAAGCTGCCACCAGCCACTGCAGCATGAGTTTGATCCCCGGCCAAGGTGCTGACCCACATGGCACAGACCTCTCCTGTCCCGCCCACAGTTCCCCTCAGCAGTGTATTCCAGTCAGTGTGTCTGTTCTGCTCCCCACTGTCTCTGGTGAATCCTCTCACCCCTTCTCCCCTGCACCTCTGGCCTACACCCCAGTTCTTGTATGCATAAATAAAAATAAAATTAAAAAACCCCAAGAATAAAGGAGAACTTATTTTTCCTCCCTTACACAGATCCTGACTCAAACATAGAGGAATATACAAAATGGGAAACAAGAAGTGTTACAGGGGAAAGGTTGACCCAGTTTATGAGTCTTCATAAGGGAAAAGGTTGACCCAATTTGAGTCCTCACCACATGCTTAGGAATACAGAACAAGGCCCCCCAAATGCAGACACTGAGGAAAAAAAAAAAACAAACTATTTAATTACATAAGGAGTGAGAAAGGGAACGCAGAGTGATGAGAAAAGGGATATTTATTGGCGGAAGGCTGTTCCAGTGTCAGTGGGCAGGCTAAGGGGCAAATTGAGGGGCACCCTGAGACCCCCAAACCTTACACGCTTTATATAGGTTCTACTATTTAAAGACAAACATACTTGAAAAGAACTTTAATAGCGTAGAGAGCAGAGAATATAGTTAAAAGTTTGCCCATGAAACCCCAGGTTACCCATCCCCTCGAGGGTAAAGGCCCCAAGCAGGGCAGCTGAGGCCCAAAATCTTGCCACAAGTGTAAGGCACCTTTGGTGGGGAACCATGAGAAAGAGGCAGAAGGGGCCAGGTAAGTCTGGAAGGAGCCAAACCAAAGCACAAGCCAGGAAATGGTCGCTGTTGTCAGCCTCCCCACGGGTCTCTCACGTCTCTTCCAATCGTCTCCTTTCGTGTCCCCCAAGTCTGGTGCAAGTCCAAGGCCAGGAAGCGAGCGCGGCCTCTCACAAGTCTGCTCCTCTCCTCCTCAGGCCTTCTCCCAAGTTCCCCCTTGTGTCCACCCTTCCTCAGCTCTACCTCCCACAGGCGGGGCAGGATATGTGGCACCTCCCCTGTTAGAATTCACCAGCCTCAGCTGAGAGGAGACAGGGGAGCCATCAGAACCCAAACAAGACAGAGCGGCCCACCTGTGTCAGTCTTTCTGCGGCCTGGAGACTCCCTTGGGCCCCTGGGTCCTGGCAGCCCCTGTCAGGGAATCAGGGCTGGGGTCCAGAAAGCTCCATCTCTCACCCTCAAGTTGGCTCTGAGGACCACCCCACTTCACCCTGGGCTCAGAGGGTCCCCCCACACCGGTCCTCTCACAAAAGGAAATCGATACTAACTAGATGTTTGATGATATTAAGGGATTGTTGTTAACTTATTTTTAGTGTAATAAAGATACTGTGATTTCATTTTTAAGATTGACCTGAGCCACTGCAACAGGCCAGAAGCCTTGGCACATCTTAGGAAGGAAGGAGGCAGATTCCAGCCATGACTCTTATGATATGCTGGAGGGGCAGGAGAGGCCACTGAGCAGGTTTTCTGATCCAGCAGACGGGGTAAAGGAGGAGGGAGTCCTGGAGCCCTCAGTGGCTTTTGCAGGCTTTTATTGGGATCTACTGGGTACATGGCAGGCAGTGGTGCTGTGGGGCCAGGAGGCTGGCAGGCCTTCCAATCCCCAGCAAGTCTTCACTCTGGGCTTTCCGACCTTCTCTCACGTTTTCTATGCTCTTCTCGTGGCTCTGCTTCTCTCTCAGCTTCTCTGTTCCTCAGCTTCTGCTGGTGTCCCTTAAAAGCCGCCCTTAAAAGCCCAGTTTCAGCCCAGGTGAATCCCATCTACATATGCCCACACCCTACTCCAGGTGCCCGCCATCAGGCATGCATTCAGGACCGCAGGGTTCCCTCATCTAAACTAATGGCGGGAGAGCAGAAAAGCCTGATACTTTTTACCTTACCCTACATATGCTTTATAGATTCCCTACTTAAATCCACTATTTCCTCTGATTCTTACAGCGAAGAATCCAACTGAATCCAACTGTTTCCCCTGAATCCAACATTTCCCATCTTTCCTGAGAGCCACTTTCATCCTGTGCCCTCACTTCTGAGCAGGCACAGTGCCTCAGAGGACACGCCATTCTTCTTGTTTCTGTACCTCTCCCTCCCAGCACCTCATGTCCGAGGCACAGCACAGATGCGGTAGGTGACTGGGGCGATGGTGAGGCCCATTCTGAACTTCAGGCTCAGCTGCTCATTTTCTGGGGGCCTGAAGGTAAATTTTTGCATAAGGGATGTGAAGAAAATAAACAACTCAGTTCTGGCCAACTGTTCTCCCAGACACACCCGCTTTCCTGAAAGACAGAAAAATAAGTTAAGAGGTCAGTTTTCCCTGGTGATGAAGGTCCTGGCAGGATTGAGACCTTCTAAAATCTTTTGCTTAACAAAGCAGAGGGATGGCCTGCTAGGCCCCAGGGCTTTATCAGAATAGCTCATTTAATCAACCAGCGCCTAGGGGAAGTTGCACTCACACTCCAATGTCTCAGCGTCATGCAGGTGAAATGGGATAAAGAACAGGGTGCCCGACCGAAGGAGTGTGAGGCCTGGCTTGACCTGCAAAGTGGCTGTGTTAAAAATCAATGAACAGGGCCTCCTTGGCGGTGCAAGGGGTTAAGACACTATCCACAGCGACTGCAGCACCAGTTCGATCCCCGGCCAAGGAGCCACCCACATGGTGCAGCAGACTTCTCCTGACTCACCCGCTGGTCCCCTCAGCAGTGTATTTCAGTCAGTCTGCCTGTTCTGTTCTCTACTCTGTCTCTGGTAAAGCCTCTCACCCCTCCCCCCACTTCTGACCTGTACCCCGGTTCTTGCATACATGAATAAATAAATCTTTAAAAAAAATCAGTGAGCAAATAACAATGTCAAAACCAGATTACAAAACTCTATGTTACTATTTTTCAGCTCTTAAAAGACAACTACCCCAAAATATGAGCAAGTGAATGTCAGGTCTGGGAGAAGGCATCGCTCCCCGAAGCTATGTTCACCTTTTCATTTTCAGGGGACACAGATGGCATGCCTCTCCATGGCAACTGAGTCAACCTTCCCTCGAACAGCCTTTCTTAGAAATGGGGGTTCTCATGGAATCTTCTTTCATACCTTTTCAATTGCACACTATATAAATGCATTAACTAGATTTTTAAAGGGCATTAAAATGTAAAAAGACAAAAGAACCTCTTCGGGGACTGCTTAGAGAAGAATCCCACCTAGTTAGATCAGTGACACATAAAGTCACTACAATGTCCAGAATGATGAGCGATTGCCCATTCTTTTATCCCTTCCTCATCCTGTTATTATAAATCAGCTCCATTTAAAAGTCCTAGAAAGATAGCAAGTGTCCAGCTTTCTTTGTGAGCTAGAGGTGGGATCTGAGTCTCTGTCCCTGTGTTCTAGAAGACAGAACAAAGTGTATCAGCAGTTTCCATCACAGGCAGGGAGGTTTTAAGAAGTGAGGCAGCCTGAGCAACATCCAGCCCAGGAATCAACCCTGAGAAGCGGGGAACAGCAGAGGGAGCCTCGAGGGGGAGTGCGGCTGGAGACATTTCGATGAAAGCAGAGAATGACACGAGCGGGGAAGAGCTGAGAGAAGAACTCTGATTTGTCACACTCCTTTATTACAGCTTACCTACTGAGAAAGGCAGGAAGGATTCCTTTTTCTTAAACTGTCCATTCTCCAGAAAATGCTCCGGGTTGAACTTGTCAGGAGTGGCCCACACTTCGGGGTCCTTGTGCAGTGCAGTCAGATTGGTGATGATCGTGGTTCCCTAGAGAAAGGAGCAAAGACTCAGGCAAGATTCCCTCCCCACACACTTGCACAGAGGGGTGGCTGTCCCTTGGCTGCCAGCCTGCTGAGGCTGATCCCCAGGACCCTGCTCTTTGCTATACAACGATGGACGGCAATTGCCTGCTGGGAAATTGATCAGGGAGTTTGGCTACCCTTGCCAACAGGCTGGATCTTATTCACAGGGACATGTCAGTGGAAGACTTGGGAGGGGCATGCACACTGCCATCTGCCAGTCAACACTACAGGAAATCAATCCTGCTGCTCTACTCAGGCAAGTGCTAACTTTGGCGGCTCTACCAAGGGCAGATATAGCCCATTCATCTGTTTCTCCCCTTCTCTCCCATCCAATGTCATGTACACACCACAAGAAGGAATCAGGCTGCCCAGGGAACGGGACTGCTGTCCATCAGGGCACATAGCAAGGAAGGCGCCCTCTCAGCCATGAGCCCCTCCCCTCCCTCGCTATGTCTTCAGGTCCTGCAGCGAGGCTGGCCCATGTTACTTTAGTTTCTCTAGATTCCATCTCCTCCATTCTATGTCCGCCACTGCTCACTTAGCCCTGCCCACCACCTTGCTCGCCTCTACTCCTGTAATATTCATCAAATGTCCTCATTCCCTTTTCCCTTTCAATCTGCTCTGCACTCTGACAGCAGAGCGTGCTCTGGACATGATTACTCATGTCACACCCATGCACACCTTGATCTCGAGAGCCTTCAGTACCTACTCATCACTCTTAGATTAGAGCCCCTCACCTGTCCTGTCTAAACAGGAGAACCTGCGTATGTGCCCACCTCGGGCAGACCTCTTTCTGTTTTGCAAACACGCCATGTTCCCATTCATTTCCATGCCTTTTAAATGCTGTTCACCTTGCCTGGAGTGTCTTTCCTCCCTCCTTTGGCTCTAAGTTAATACTTAATCCCCCTCAGCTCAAGCATCACTTCCCTTTGGAACCCTAATCTGACCCCCCACCACCCCTACCCCCACTCTGGCTAGCCAATATCTTTATGGAAGCAGTGGGTGTTTGTCTTCGGTTGGTTATCATAGTTTGAAAGTGTGGACTTGCACAATTATTTACTTAGGGTTGTTTTCTAGCTCTGAGCACTTTAGGAGCTTGATGAATACTAAAGAGTAATAACTGTTATTTTGAGTACTTTCTATGATAAGCACTGGATTAAATGTTCTTACATGCATGACCTTATTTTACCTCCACATGTGAGGTAGATTTAAATGCATTTTACAGATAAAGACATTGAAACCCTGAGACGTTAACCATTATGCCCAGAATCATACAGTGGGAGAAACATAGCCATGATTTAAAATAGGTCTATTTGTCTATTTGACGTCAAAATTATGGCTCTTAACTTCTACAACATACAGTCAATTAGATCTCTCAGTTCCCAGGATGGTTATTCAAGTTGATGTTAAAAAGCTGTGGTAGGGGCCTCCCTGGTGGCACAGGTGGTTGAGCGCCGCACTGTGAAGCTGTCCGCAGACTCTGCAGTGCGGGTTCGATCCTGGCCGGTCAGCGAGAATCCCACATGGCGAGGCAGACCTCTCCTGTCTCGCCCGCTGCTCCCCTTCAGTCCGTCTGCCTGTTCTGTTACCCACTCTGTCTCTGGTGAGTCCTCACCCCCTGCATCTTTGGCCTGTAACCCAGTTCTTGTATAAATAAATAAATCTTAAAAAAAAAAAAAAGAAAAAGCTGTGGTAGAAGTAATCTGTTGAACTGCGCAGGTTCCCTAGAGTTAAATGAGTCACTAGGAAAATGTAAATAGAACCTGTGGAATAATTTAGACCTCAGCCTCCACCAACAAGGTAATTAGTAAGAAACAGCGAATGCAAAAACTGCCACAGTAGCTGCTTTTCCTGGCTGGGCAGGAATTTTGACCCAGGGTAGTCCAACAGGCTAGCTCCTCTGGCTCCTCCCCTCGAGGCTGTACCCAGGTGTGACACACTCAGAGGGACTTGGGAAAGCTGGAATGGACCCAGAAAGGCAGGCCAAGGCAGTGAGAAGATCCTGCTGACGTGCAGTGCGCAGACAGGACATCTGTGGAGACATCCGTGGAGATGAGGAGGCTAGGGTGTGCAGAGAGGCCCGCATTTCCTTGCTGAGGACAGGGGATTTAATACAGATCAACTGAGAAAAAATGGGATGGAGACTCTTGAAAATCAAAGAAAGCAACTCCTGTGGAGATAACATGATGGAGAATAAAGAAGTTGAGCCTGGGAATCAGGAAAGAACAGATTCTGAACCCAGCTATTGTTACTTGGTAGTTGAGAGAGCTTATGCAAGCTAATCACTCCCAGAGCCCCAGCTTCTCAATTTATAAAAGGGGAATTACAGAATTATTCTAAGGATTAATGAAGACATTTTTTAAAGAATATATATAGTTGATGGTACATCACCACCACTTAATTACTACTGGTTTCTTTCTCTCCCTTCCTTTAAGTAATATTGTCCACACTTAGATCAGTTTCCCTCGTGGAGCAGTACTTCATGGGGTTGTAAGTAAAAGCTGGGAGAATTCTTGTGGGGTATCATGTTAGAAACTCCAGCATTTGATATTGGTACAAGTAGTCTGAAATGTCCCTGTTTATTTTAATACTTTATAACCCAGCATCGTGAAACAGAATTTTCTGTATTAAGTCTAGGAGGTCTCTGGGGCTGTGAGGTGCCCTCCAGGGCATAGGGAAAACAAACAAACAAACAAACAAACAACAACAACAACAAAAAAAAAACAGTCTCACTGAGAACTCTGCCTTATCTCCACAAAGAGTCACAAAACCCTGAAAGTTCCACTGCAATAAAGCCAGGTTTTGCCTGAACATGTTTGGAATCCTAAGAGGAAGCTTCTTTGCCCTCCATCAAAACTGTAAATATCTAGTTGAACTTAATGTTTAAAAGCCCACACATGGAGAAAAAGACCCTACTCTTATATCGGGTAGAATATAGTTCTCTCCTCTTTCATTGATTCCTTTATACATGACTACATCTCAATTTTCAAGTTCATATTCCTACCATTTAAAGATGAATGTAAAGCTCTGAGGCTGGTAGACCCTGCTCACCTTGGGCAGGTGGTATCCGGCCAGGGTGGTATCTGCCGACACTATCCTGGGCACATTCAGGGGCAAAATGTTCCCCATTCTTTGCACCTCGTGGATGACAGCGTTGGTGTAGGGCATGGACTCTCGGAAAGCCATACCCGGCTGCTGGGACTGGCCAAGCACTCTGTCGATTTCAGCGTGTACTTTTACTGGAAAATAAGAGAAGCTTCTATTATTCTTATTATTCCTTAGCATTCTGTGATACTGGTAAAGCTAGGAATAGAATAACGAGAATCAATCAACATGGCTAAAATTATAGAAGGTTGTGTAGACTCTAGATTCTGTGGGGAATATGAGTGGAAAGAGGGCCTTGGTGTAAGACAAATCTTTATAAACTCTTGCTCTACAACATTTTTTTTTCTTTTCCTTTTTTTTTATAGAGGCATGTTTTATTTATTTATTTGTTTGTTTGTTTGTTTGTTTATACATGCACTGGGTACAGTCAGAATTGCGGGAGGGTGAGAGAATTCACCAGAGCCAGAGCAGGGAGCAGAGCAGGCAGAAGGACGGAAGTACACTGCTGAGGGGAGCAGCGGGCGGCAGGAGAGGTCTGCGCTCCATGTGGGACCCTCCTCTGGTGGCCGGGGAGCAGCCGGGGATCGAACCGGTGCCGCAGAGGCCGCAGGCAGCTTCGCAACCCAGCGCTCAACCGCTGTGCCACCGGGGAGGACCCTCTCTACAACATTTTTGCTGCAAGTTATTTAAAGTCTTTGAGAATTAGTTTCTTCTTCTCATGAGTGACGATAAATCTACCTTCATCGTAAGGATATTTTGAGATTTATGTGAACTGACTTAAGTGAATAGCCAACAAATGAGTAACACCGCTAATTGTTCACCCAAATTACCTTTCCTGTTTCTCTCCAACAACAAGATTTTAGCTCATTCCCAGCCAAAGTCTACAGTTCCCAGGTTTCACAGTGACTAAATGGGGCCACATGACTAAGTTCTGGCTAATAGAGCATACCTATTCACTGCAAACTGTAATACTTACGTTAAGCTTTTAAAGGAAGGGAGTGTGCTTCCTTCCTCTCTGTCCCTTCTTACTGGTGGAAAGGCAGCCCCAGTGGTGAGCGATCTTTGAAATTGCCCGCCAAGGAAATATTCTAAATACACCAGGGCAACAAACTGGCAGGAGCCTACAACCCAAAGGACTCTTCAGAGTCCAGCTTAGATTTTCTACCTGAAACAGAAATGAACTTCTGTCTTTTTTAACTACCCATTAAAATATTTTTAACAGGGCCTCCCCGGTGGTGCAGCGGTTGAGCACTGGGATGCGAAGCTGCCCGCAGCCTCTGCGGCGCCGGTTCGATCCCCGGTTCTATCCCCGGCTGCTCCCCGGCCACCGGAGGAGGGTCCCACATGGCATGCAGACCTCTCCTGCCGCCCGCTGCTCCCCTCAGCAGTGTACTTCGGTCCTTCTGCCTGCTCTGCTCCCCGCTCTGGCGCTGGTGAATTCTCTCACCCTCCCGCGCTTCTGACTGTACCCAGTGCATGTATAAACAAAAAACAAACAAACAAACAAATAAATAAATAAAACATGCCTCTATTTAAAAAAAATAAAACAAAATATTTTTAATGATAGTAAACTACACAAAACATAAAAGGTATCATTTTAAAAAGTTTTAACCATACTGTTAACGGCATTAAGTATATTAGCATTATTGAGCAACGAATCTCCAGAACTTTTTTATCATGTTAAACTAAAACTACATCCATGAAATAACTCTTGTATCCCAGCCTCTGGCAACCATAATTCTACTTTCTGTTTCTATGGATTTTACTCTAGATGTCATGCAAGTGCATCATACAGTATTTGTTTTTTTTGTGACTGGATTATTTAACTTAATATCCTCAAGCCTCATCTGCATTATAGCACATGTCAGAGTTTCCTTCCTTTTTAAAGCCAAGTAATATTCCACTATATTCCACATTTTGTTTATGTATTCATCCATGGATGAACACTGAGGCTATTTACACTTTTTAACTAATGTAAATAATCCTGGTATGAATGTGGTAGGAAGCTGTATTATTTTAAGTCACTTATTTTGGAGCTTCTATTACAGAAGCAAGTCTATATCCAAACATGATAGCTTTTAAACTTTTTTTTTAAAGATTTATTTATTTTTATACAAAAACTGAGGTACAGGTCAGATGCACGGGAGGGTGAGAAGATTCACTGGAGACAGAGCAGGGAACAGAACAGGCAGACTAAAGAAATAAATTGCTTAAGGGAGCAGCGGGCGAGACAGGGACGGTTTGCTTCACCATGTGGGATTCTCGCTGGCTGGCAGGGATTGAACCTGTGCTACAGAGGCTGCAGACAGCTTCACAGTGCAGCGCTCAACCGCCTGCGCCACCAGGGAGGCCTAGCTTTTAAGCTTTTTAAAATATATAATTCACAGTTACAAATGCAGTGGGTGCAGTGGGTTGAGCGCAGCGCCGTGAAGCTATCTGCAGCCTCTGGAGTGTGGGTTTGATTCCCGGCCAGCCAGGGAGATACCCACATGGCGTGGCAAACCTCTCCTGTCTTGCCCGCTGCTCTGTCTGCCTGTTCTGCTCCCCTCTCTGTCTCTGGTGAATTCTCTCACCCTCCTGCACATCTGGCCTGTACCTCGGTTCTTGTATAAATAAATACATCTTAAAAAAACAAAAACAAAAACAAATGTGTTTTGTATAATGACTTAGAATACACACACACTATATGCAGTTTCATGGACAGACTATCTTTAGTACATGGCAAAGACTGATCTTTTCTATTTTTATTTTAGGGAATAAAGTTAATCTTGTTTTAATGAAACAATTCCCATTAATAAGCAGTCACTACAGTTTAAAAAAACTATCTCTTAACAATCCCATTCCTTTAAGTGCTCAAACCATTCTGGGATGTGGAGAAAGAAAAATTATTATAACAGACCCTGTCCTTGAATGGCCTGCAATCCATGGGGCCGATGTATGAATAACATGTGATGAGCAGAATAACAGAGGTGAATTAGGTCATCTATAGAAGAAGCAAATGCTAGTTTTTCCTACAGGAGTGGAGCTGTATATCAGACAAGTTTGTATTTAAGCAGATTCTTCATGCAGAGCCAGCACTTGACCATGTAGAGAAATTAGGGAACTGCATCTTTGGTGGAGGGAAGAACAGAAGTGATGGCACAGAGGTGTAAATACAGGAAGAGCAGAGGAAAGGACAGGTAGTTTAGTGAGGCCACTCTGCAGGGCAGATGGAGTTGAGGCTGGATAGGCAGGAAGACGGACATCAGAGAATATGATATATCAGGCACAGGACTTTGAACTTCATCCACAGGACCATGGAAGACATAACTAAAAGGAGAGAAAGTTATCTGACCTGATTTCATGTGAAAATACAGCTTTTCCTGGAACTCACCACAATGTCTTCATTGTTTGACCCACTAGAATCTGAGTTTCCTGATGGCAAAAGCTTTGTTATTCCTGTTATTATGTGGATCCTTCACAATCCTGAAAGGAAACTTGAAGGATGGGCCTGCCCTTGAGTCTCCTTTGCCTTGTGACTGTCCCACCTTTCTCTCTATTGCACTGTGCTCTCCTCTGGCACAAATGTTGAGTCAGTCTGGCCCAGGAACACTCACCCTGGATATCGGGGTTCAGGGCCATGTAAAGCAGGGCCCAACGCAGCGTCGTTGAAGTTGTCTCTGTTCCAGCAAAGAAGAGGTCCATGGTGCAAAAGATGAGGTTTTCTTCATTGAAACTTGAAGTGGCATTGTCACGATGCTAGAAAGCACAATGTTTATGTACTTATTCAGAGAGTTCTTGGCTGCCACACCACACAGAGCTTCATTGTGGGGATGGAACATAGAAGTAAGGATCCTCAGGAGAAAAGCCTTTCCCTCTGGCCTGCTCAGGAGGCAGAGACTTACTATAATAGCATCCTCTGACCAAAAGCTGGAAGCCTACGTAGCTTGAGTGGATGAAAATCAAGATGACTATTTTTCTTATGCCTATGATTTGGGAGAAACTATTTGTATAAGGGAAAGAGAAGCTATAGTACATGTAAAGACAGACTTAGGTTCCAATATCAACCACATCATCTACTATCTGTGTGACCTGGGGTAAGCTGCATTAATTTCCTGTTTTATAAAATAGAAATAACAACACATACCCCTTAAGATAGTACTGTGAGATGCCAATGACAGAGCTAATGCCAATGACAGCAAATTCTCAACATGTGTTTTATTGATATCAGAAAGAATAAGCTGAGGGCCTCCCTGGTGGCGCAGCGGTAGAGCGCTGAGCTGTGAAGGGGCTCGCAGCCTCCGCAGCACCAGTTCAATCCCCAGCCACCAGCAAGGTCCCACATGATGTGCAGACCTCTCCTGCCATGCCCGCTGCTCCCCTCAGCAGTGTATTTCGTCAGTCTGCCTGTTCTGCTCCCGGATCTGGCTCTGGTGAATTCTTTCACCCTCCCGCGCTTCTGATTGTACCCAGTGCTTGTATAAAAAAATCTTATAACAAAAAACTTTAAAAAAAAAAAGAAAGAATAAGCTGAAATCCCATTATGTACAATTTTTATATCTCTCCATTAATCTTTTCCTTTGTAGGTGGAAACTCTCCAATCCACTATCCTCATAGCACCCATCACCTTTACAACTTTTGGTTTTGTACCTGCACTCCATGTAGCAAGTCTCCTCCTCTGAGGAAAAAACAATGTTATATCAATATCATTAAAGATAAATCAATAAGATGAAATAAAAGAAGGAAAGAAATCCAACTCCAGGAGGAGAAACAGATAATTTGATGAGTGAAAAATGAATACACTGATGTCATGATGTATATTAATCAGCAGGTAACCCCAGATATCCATATGACTTTCCTATAATGTTGAAAGTGGTATTAGAAGGGAAGGGAAATATTCCTCTCAGACCTTGAGCTTAAACTCTGGAATGTTACTCAACCTTAGCTGTGTTCCTAATTGGTGCTTGAGAAGGTGTAGATAACTGGGCACAGACTCAACTAAAAATAAGACAGGACATTGAGACTCAGGTGCTATTTTTCCTGCTGTGTATAGCTACTTTAGATGAGGGCAGAGACTAGAAGAAGAAAAGGCAGGGTTTGGGCATTCCCAAGGTCTCAAATCAAATGTTAGTAACCCCCTACTTGTATCATCAAATCCTGAGTTATTGCCTATACTTTATGAAATACTGACTCTTTTTATTTCCCTGTGGTAGCTAAATGATGTCACACAACAAAGTCCATGTGCTAAGCTCTAGAACCTATGCACATTATCTTCTCTGGCAAAAGGGACTTTGTCACCTTGTGGAGTGGCAATCTTGGGAGTGGCATGGGATGGAGGAAAAATAATTGAAAGTCCAGAGAGAGAGAGAGAGAGAGAGAGAGAGAGAGACCTAGAGGGGCTATATCTCTGGAGATATAGTGCCAAATTCCAGGCCAGTCTCACATTTATTTGGTATCAGATTCAGGGAAGGTGGGCAAGTCCATGGAGGAATGTGCTTGGAGGGGATGTGGATTGGGGATGCATAATAGTCTGGCACAAGATAGGGGACAGTGAGTAGGGGCCATTGTTTGGGGGTGGGGGGATGGGGTGGTGTACATTCTTGCTGCTGATCAAAACAGCCTGTCTCTAGTCCTTGTTTACACTTAATCTGGCCATAATCATAATGTCTGCCATAATATCTGGTCATAATATCTGCTGTTTCCTCCAGATATCCTCATACCAAGACTTTTTTCTTGGTGAGAAGCTCCCTGTCTGACTCTACATTTAGCTTAACCAGCAACAACTTTAGGTGCCAAGCAAAATCCTAAGAACAAGGAGGGCTGGGGCATCCATAGAACTTTGTAGCTATGGTTAAATTAAGGATCTCGATATGGGAAGTTTATCCCAGATGATCCCACCAGGACCAATATAAATAATCACAAAAGTCTTTCTAAGATGGAGTCAAGAGAGTTAGAAAGAGAAGATGTAGGAATGATAGCTGAGAAGATGCCACCTTCTGACTTTGCATATGGAAAAAGGGGCCTTGAACCAAGGAGTATAAGGTGTCTCTAAAGCTGCAAAAATTAAGGAAACTGATTTGCCACTAGAGTCTTCTGAAGTAATCAGCCCTACAGCCCTTTGACTTTAGCCCATTGGGACAGGTTTCAGACTTCTGATTTTCAAAACTGTAATAAAATTAATCCATGCTGTTTTAAGCCACTGGGATTGGGTAACTTGTTACATGAATAGAAAACTAGTATACCTCCATTTGCTCTTTAAGAACAAAACTTGGGGGTCCTCCCTGGTGGCACAAGGGATTAAGCACAGCACTATGAAGCTATCCACAGCCTCCTCAGCAGGAGTTCAATCCCTGGCCTGCCAGGGAGCAACCCACATGGTGCAGCAGACCTCTCCTGCCACACCCGCTGCTCCCTTCAGCAGTGTACTTCAGTCAGTCTGCCTGTTCTTTTCCCCACTCTGTCTCTGGTGAATCCTCTCACACACACACCTGCACACCCGCACCTCTTGCCTGTACCCCTGTTAAAAAAATAAATCTTTAAGAAAAAAAGAGCAAAACTTAGAAAATAACTTTGCTTTCCTTACCTTTTCTATTTCCTTAAGATAAGCATCAATAAAGTCTCTTGGTTTATCAGGATCCCAGTCGCTCCTGTGGTTTTTAATCACATCAGCAACAAACAACTTCAGTTTCTCCCAGTAGCTGAAGAGTTTTTTGTGGTGTCCAGGAAAGAAATCCATTATCCTTGGTATGATATTATAGAGCTAATTGAGAAAAACAATACAATTGTGGAGACATGGTGCCCGATTTCCTTACTTAACCATTGGAGTCGCACTTGACTAATCCTACCTCTCTCACCCTCTTCTGTTTGCCCCAGAGAAAGCACTTCAGCCTTCCATTAAAAATGTAGCCAGTGCAGACCACTTCTCACACCGCCATTGTTTTGTTACCCTTGTGCAAAACACCAGTATTTCTTACCTGGCTGCCTAATAGCCTCCAACGGATTTCCTGATTCCATGATTAACTTCATTCCCAGGCTATATTCTAAAGCACTGCCAGAGAGCTCACTTCATTGATTAATCAGATCATATCAATCCTGCACTCTCCTTTCTTCAATGACTTTCAATGACACTTAGTTTGACATCATTGCCTGGACCTGTAAGCTCTACATAAGTTGACCCCTCATGCAACTGTCATCTCCTTCAGTTAACACTTCCTGCCATCTTACTCTCCCTTACTCTCGTCAGTCCAGCCTATAGATCTCTTAGATAACATCAAGGATCTTCCTGCTTTAGGCCTTTGAATTTGCTATTTCTCTGCCTAGCATATTCTTCAAGAAAGGGGTGAGGTTTGGACCCAAAGGTCCATACATCATGAAATTAGAAATTTGGTAATATCAAGTGATCACCATACAGGTAGTGCAACTGCTTTGGGAGCCTTTAGGCATCCTTTATGTCCAGATACATATGCAAGAGAAGTATAGCCACATGAACAAGTTTTTAAGAATGTCAGTGGCAGACTTATTGATGATATTCTCAAGCTGGAAATAATCCAAATGTCTATCAATAGAGACTAGAGCAACAAACAGTGGCAATTCCTACAGTGAAATACTACTCAGAATATTTTCTACAGAGCACTAATACAGATGACTTTTATAATAATATGTCCAGCAAGAGGCCAGTTACAGAAGAGTGCCTCTGAGGAGGCTAGGAATGGATGGGGGAGGGCCTCCTTGGTGCACAGCGGTTGAGCGCTGGGTTGCAAAGCTGCCCGCAGCCTCTGCAGCACCGGTTCGATCCCTGGCCACCAGGTGAGGGGTCCCATATGGTGCACAGACCTCTCTTGCCGCCCGCTGCTCCCCTCAGCAGTGTACTTCGGTCCTTCTGCCTGCTCTGTTCCCCGTTCTGGCTCTGGTGAATTCTCTCACCCTCCCGCGCTTCTGACTGTACCCCAGTGCTTTTATAAATAAATTAATAAATCTTTAAAAAAAAAAAGGAATGGATGGTGGTAAGAGGATGGGGGGGGGAAGTGAGGGGACACAAATGCAATGCAATATTGTGCCTTTTAAATAAAGCAACATAAGTACATAGTTATAAGGCATGTCAACTTTTGTGCCGTACAGGAATGGTAAAAATGTTCTTTGTATACAGCAAATATTTAAACAACATATCAAACCACTAAAGTCAATAGATAGCTGAGGTCAATTTTAAAAAGTTTTATTTAACTTAAAAAAAAACAGGAGAGAACCATCAGTGTCTGCTATCAGCCCCCAAATCCTTAACAAGATGTAGAAATGTAAGCAAGGCAAATGGTTAAATTGCTCTCAGACATGAAGAGCACAAAAAGAAAAAAAACTTTATCGCTGAGTCTTGTTTACAGATGAGTCACAGCAACTACCTTGAGGTGTGCTACAAGGCCTGCTGGAAACTGAGAATGTAGATAAAGGAGCTACCCAGAGGCAGGACAGCTTGGAAAAACTGAACTCCTGGCTCTGGACTTCTATTATAAACAAAGTCTTTTGTAATTAGCTTGGACAGATGGGACTTTGGTCCTATGGTCACTGTTAGTCTAATATGCTTACTTCTTTTGATCATTGGCCCTTGTCTCCTGAATCACATGGTTGTTTTTGTCTCCAGAAGGGGAGATACTAAAACTTCCAAATTATCATTAGTCAAGGGCTTAGACATTTGGGTTTATAACTCTGTGACAACAACTCAGATTAGCTAGGATTCTGCTCCTCTGTGGGCCCCCAATCCTCTGCCTGCATTCAGCTGGAAGTATTTCCAGAAGACGTACCTCTAGCAATTGCCAATCAAGAATGAGGACCAAGATATAGACAGGAGATGGGAATTATCATTGGCCTAGTAAACATAAGTTCCTTGTCCTTGTCCTGTTTATCCTTGCTCTGCTTCTGTCTATCTTTCCTTTCAGACAAAACCAGAAAACCAGAAAAACTTACTGAAACCACATTGGAGGTAGAAATAAGAGGAGGGTTAACCCACACACAGCCTCATTAGAATAGTCAAAATCACACTCACCAGTGCTATGACAAATCTAGTCAAGACCAAACTTAGAAGATAAAAGGGCATGCATTCAGCTCTGGAAAGCCCTGCCTATTTCTCTGAAACCCTGATGCTCAGTACTCTTTAACCTCTCCCTTTCTAACTAAAACTGATTTTCTCCCATCTACTCTTGAATCTCGAGTTTTGGTTATGAATGGTGAGTAGCCAGACCTCTAGAAAACTGTTATAAAAAGAAAACTGCTTTACCTGGCACCACACTGAAGTTTCCAGCCATGTGACTGCATCCAGCAGCCTCAGCAGCTCCTGGAACTGATCATCCTGGTACTCAAAGCGCTCCCCAAAGGTGACTGAGCAAATAATATTGGAAACTGCATTGTTGATCTTGAAGTGGGGGTCAAAGGGCTGAGCTGGAGGCAGAAGAAGTGATGGATCCTTTAGATGGGTTTGTTTCTATTTTCTATGGAGCATGTACTCTACATGATCTAAGACACTGAGTATAGAATCACATCTGAGGCTCTGGCTACAGGTTCCCACATAGGATCTAACATACAGTAAGTACTCAGCCAAAGCCTGGGAAGTTAATCTGTTGTCCAGAGTGGTTAAAATTAGTAATGGACAGATGAACAGACAGTCAGATATCATATATCAACAGACAATTCATCAAAAAAGAATATCTTGAAGGTCAACAGACAAATGAAAAAAATGTTCATCATTACTTTCAATAAAAAGATGCAGGTTATAACCACAATGAGATACTCTCTCATGCTCGTGAGAATGGCTGATATGAAAAAAACCTCCAACAACAAGCATTGGAGAGTTGTGGAGAAAAAGGGACTCCATTTCACTGTTAGTGCAAATGTAATCTGGTACAACCATCATGGAAAGCAATCTTGATTTACCTTAAAAAAACTAAAAATGGGGTCTCCCTGGTGGCGTGGGGGGTTTAGAACAGCTTTATGAAGAAATCTGCAGCCTCTGCAGCACGAGTTTGATCCCAGGACGGCCAGAGAGCTATCCATATGGCGCAGCAGACCTCTCTTGGCTTGCCCGCTGCTCCCCTCAGCAGTGTATTTCAGTCAATCTGCCTGTTTTGTTCCCCATTTTGTCTCTGATGAATCCTCTCACCCCCCGCACCTCTGGCCTGTACCCCAGTTCTTGTTTGCATAAATAGGTAAATCTTTAAAAAAAAAACAAACTAAAAATGGAAATCCCACATGACCCAGCAATCCTACTCTTGGGTATTTATCCAAAGAAAATAAAACTATCAACACAAAAAACCTTATGTTCCGCAATGTCGTAGCAACATTATTTCCAACAGCCAGGGAGTGGAAGCAGCCTAAATGGCATCAAGAGACAATTGGATTAAGGAGATGTAGTATAGTCATACTACGGAGTAGCACGTAGCCATATAAAAAGATGAAATACAGCCATTTTCAATAAAATGGAGAGAGTTTGAGAGAATTATGTATAGTAAAGCAAGTCAAAATGATAAAAACAAATACTGGACATTTATTTAGAAGACAGTTTGATAATATAAAACATTTTCCAAAACCAGTGGACGTCAATGGACACTATGAAGGTTCTCAGGTTTAAAGGGTGGTGAAGGGAAGAGACAAGGGGATAGAAAGGGTAGTAGTGGGGAAAATAAACATTAGCAGAACTGTCAAAAATAAAATAAAATTAGCAATGGACTTAAAGCCATCCTCTTGTGCTTAATTCTAGAACTCCAAGAAGATAGGGTTGTGATTAGCTATACTGTTAAATCTCAACTGTCTTACCCAGTGCTGGGCAGAGGGCAGGCACTGACACTTGGTATCTTTTCAGTGACTCAATAAACCACCACCTCCTACATCTGTCATGTGAAACACTCACCTTTCTCCTTTTCTATTTCCTGAATGAGGAACTGGGCCTCCTCCCGGATGCGTTCCTCTAAGGTCTTCTTTCCTAAACCAAAATTCCTTAGTGTTGTCAGGGCGAACCTCCTTTGCTCCTTCCATGCCTGGCCATTAGACATGATCAATCCTGGGAAAGAAAAGCCAACATTGTGGTATTCTAATTCTATAATATGAATATCTGGCTAATGACAGATATCTGTAGCAAATGGAGGGAAAATGAAATACATTAAGGTACTTGAAAACTATTCACAGGAATAATTCCAAGGCAATGACTACATTTCCCGATTGCTTACAATGTTAGGCACTTTAGTAACTTTTATGTCTTATGTAATTCAGTGTTCACAGAAACTCTATGAGGAAGACACAGCTATTACCCCTGTCCCCATATTGCTGATAAGAAATTTGATGTACAGGAATAAAGTAAACCTGGCAAGGTCATAGTTAATAAGTAGCTGAGGAGACATTCAAATTCACGGTGTGTCTGACTCCAAAATCATGATTCCTAGCCATGTATACATATTGAAGTATGTATGGCATGCTACATACTAAGAATGCACCCATGGAAAAGACAAAATCCAAACTTGAATCGAGGGAAGGCTTTCTAGGAGAGGTCCCATGTGAGCAGGACCCCAAAAGATGAAGGAATGATTAAAGGAAGCAAGGAATAGTGAAGAATTCATGCAGAAAGAATAGCACAGGCAAGGGGAATAACCATCTTGGTGTAATCAACAAACCTTCACTGATTTTATAGGATGGGTAAGTCAGGTCACTCAAGTCACCATTTTCAGAGCACTCTTCAGTTCTTTTTTTTTTTTTAAGATTGATTTTTATTTATTTGTTTGTTTATACATACAAGCACTGGGTACAGTCAGAAGTGCGGGAGGGTGAGAGAATTCACCAGAGCCAGAGCGGGGAGCAGAGCAGGCAGAGGGAGGTACACTGCTGAGGGGAGCAGCGGGCGGCAGGAGAGGTCTGCGCGCCATGCGGGACCCTCCTGGTGGCCGGGGAGCAGCTGGGGATCAAACCAGCGCTGCAGAGGCTGCGGGCAGCTTCGCAACCCAGCGCTCAACCGCTGCGCCACCGGGGAGGCCCTCTTTAGTTCTTTTTAATACCTGCCTTTGACCTCTAACACCTCAATGAAATCATCTTCCTTGTCAAATCCAGGGAAACTTTTCAACCTCATTTTACTTGGTGTTTCAGCAGCATGAGACTTTTCTTTCTTCATCTCGTTCTTCCGATGGTACTCAGGACACCTCGCTCTCCTGATTTCCCTCCTTATTCTCTGGCAGCAGAAAACTTCCTATATCATTTGCTAGTTCATCTTCTACCAAATTTTGAAATGATCGAGTCTTTCAAGATTAGGCCTAAAACCCTCTCTGTTCTCACTCTATACTCTGGGAAATCTCAGCAATTGCTACAATTTTAAATAACATCTATTAATAGTGACCATCTGTTCTCTCCTTGGTCTTGTGACATATACACAACTGCCTGCTTGATTTTCTGACTAAAAGGCATTTTAAACTCAGCATATCCATTACTGAATTAATGATTTTCTTTATACAACCCACCAAGTCAAACTGAGCAGTTTATCTTCCATCAAATGTTCCTTTTGCCATAATCTATCCATGTGTGTGTCTACCTAGACGCCTCATTCTTCCCCCTTTCCCCTTCCATCTAGGTCATTGTGTCTTATTGGATTTATATCCTGAACATTTTATTTATTTTTTTAAAGATTTATTTATTTATGCATACAAGAACTGGGGTACAGGCCAGAGGTGCAGGGGGGTGGGAGGATCCACCAGAGACAGAGTGGGGAACAGAACAGGCAGACTGACTGAATACACTGCTGAGGGGAGCAGCAGGTGAGTCTGGAGAGGTCTGCTGCACCAAGTGGGTAGCTCCCTGGCCAGGGATCGAACTCGTGCTGCAGTGGCTGAGGATTGCTTCATAGATTGAGTCTTAACCCCTTGCGCCACCAGGGCGGCCCATCTCCTGAACATTTTAAACCCATGTATCTTCACTGCTACTTTATTGGTCTAATCCATTGCATTGCCATTTCTTGCCACCTCTGTAGTTTGAGTTACCACCTTCTCTAACCTGAAATACTTCAACAGTCTCTTGCTTCTTTTATTCTATCCCCTATACTGCAGCCTAAGTAGGTCTTTAAAAGATATTGTTTAAATATGGTGATTCATTTCTCTACCTGAAACCTCTTATTAAAAGGTTTAAAAGCATGGGCCTTCCCAGTGGCGCAGCAGTAGAGCGCTGGGTTGCAAAGCTGCCTGCAGCCTCTGCAGCACCAGTTTGATCCCTGGCCACCGGGCGAGGGTCCCACATGGCATGCACACCTCTCCTGAGCTTCTGACTGTACCCAGTGCTTGTATAAATAAAAATAAATAAATCTTCAAAAAAAAAAAAGATTTAAAAGCAACATTTTGAACAAGAACTTGCATAAATGATTCCTTGTGTAGCTCATCAACTTCATGTCCATTTAATTACATCCATTTAATCCATGTGCTTGAAACACTGGCCACCTTTCATTTCACTGTATTTCTTCCCATCTCTGGGACTTTTCACATCCCATTCTCTCTGCTTGATTGCTTCTTTTTTGAATCGATATTTATTTACATTAACTTTCCCTGAACTTCAGGGCTAGAAAAGGTGCCCTTAATAAGTGTATCCTGGGGCCTCCCCGTGTCCGGGCCTCCCCGGTGGCGCAGTGGTTGAGCGCTGGGTTGCGAAGCTGCCCGCGGCCTCTGTGGCGCTGGTTCAATTCTCCGGCTGCTCCCCGGCCACCGGAGGAGGGTCCTGCATGGCGCGCAGACCTCTCCTGCCGCCCGCTGCTCCCCTCAGCAGTGTACTTCGGTCCTTCTGCCTGCTCTGCTCCCTGCTCTGGCTCTGGTGAATTCTCTTACCCTCCTGCGCTTCTCACTGTACCCAGTGCTTTTATAAATAAATAAAATCTTAAAAAAAAAAATATTACTATAGTTTAAAAAAAAAGTGTATCCTGTTCTTATATTCAATAACATTAAGTTCATCAATACTTCTTGAATAGAATGAAAGTTTCGTGAGGATATGGGCTTTATCTGTCCTGCTGACTGGTATATCACTCATGCCTAGCACTGTGTTTCACATGGCAGAGAGTAAATAAAGTAAGTGGATAGGGAGGGAATGGATACAAAATTTCAAAGAGGAACTGAGAAGCACCAAAAAAAGTGGTGCTTTGTTAGAGAAACAGTCTTCAGCTTTTCATCTAGATTTGTAAATGGTTAAGTTTACCTAGTGATAACATTAAGTATTCATGACAAACTGCTTTTCTTCCTAAACTTTTCTAACATGCACTAGAAGACTTGAGATGCACTATGGGGATGGCTTTTATGGTCATCCATAAAGGATAAAAAGTCATTCTTTATGAGGATGCCTCTTCTTCTGTTATAACAGAGAAATGTGGTTATGTGTTTATTAAAATTAGAATAAGTTCATGCAGGAGGCACAGTTTCTCTCAAACCCCTGACGTTAGGGCTGACCCTGCCAAATCCTTGAAAAGATGCCCTCAACAGGGAACTGTGAGCATCTAGCTTCCTTTAATGGTAGGAAATTTATAATGAATCTGGTCTTTGGGGATAATGGAGAATTATAGAATCAGAGGAACCTTTCATAGACCATAAGAATACCAAGCATGCACATCTTACATTGGTTCTGAAACTTACCATTTGTCTTAAAGAAATGATGTCGAAGAGGCATTACGGGGCGGTCCACAAAGTTTTGGTCCTGGTTGACAAGGGCTTCTTTGATTAAGCCCAATCCACTTATAATTACTGAATGTATAGAACCAAAATCCAGGCTCAAAACGTTCCCATATTTCTTCACATACTGAAAAATAGTTGAACAGTCCAAGTTGAATATGCACAGGTCTGAGCGTCCAGGAAAGGAGGGATAGAGGGTGTCTGTAGCTGGGGGTGGGAATTGTATTGAGGATAGTCTGTGTGGACAAATGTACTTGTGTGTCTTGTTCTGATGAGGAGGTTTCTTCCTATTACCCCTTCTCCTTCACTCATCTAGATTACTTTTGATTCACTAGAGAACACTCATGGTCCTTATACAGCACCCATTCGCATATTCACTCAACATGAATTAAGTGAGCATCCAGGATGTGTCCCGAGCAAGAGGCATGAAGATTTAACTCTTGCAAAATACATGTGGTCTTTAACCTCAAGTCTCCTGGAGAAGGTGAAGGGAAAGATTTGCACATGTGCCTCACCAAAGAAAGCTGAGCTATGCCTAGTGTGAGAATGGTATCGCAAGCATGGCCTTCTCAGTAAAATATCTCCTTATCCAGAAATGAATGCCCCATTCCTCAACACAGGCTAGGTGACAGAGAGTTCATTATAGGCCTAAGGCCAGATATGGAAAAAAGCACTCCAGCTCTGGAGTCATATGTGATCTTGGCTCTATGGTACACGAACTGTAGATTCTAGAGAAGATTGCTCCTGAAACTTAGTTCTCTTGCAATAAAAGGGGGATAATTATTCCTCCCTCAAAGGGTTTTGCAAAAAAGAATGAGAGCAGCAGTGTGAAAGACACTTTGTTTTCTGGTGCCTGGCACACGGCCACATGAGTCTCTGAGGAATGAACGGGCTGTGTGTTCAAAGGGATCTGGACATGTGGTCATGGCAACAGAGAGGATAAGAGCTCATGGGTGATTATGCTAGAGGAAGGCGCACCGTGTTGCGTGCCTTTCACATTTTATCTCACAACCATTCTATGTTAATCATTATTTTCCTTATCTTTCAGAAAAGGGAAACAAATGGTAGCCAAGCTATCTATCAAGTGGCGGAGGGAGTCTGCCAGGCATCATGTAAGACTGGAGGACAAAGACATGAACTTGAGATGGTGTCAGGATCTTAGAGTTTGGTGGGAGTGGCAGTGGCAGTGAGAATGAGAGTGATATGGGGGGGCCTGGGTGAGGCGAGGTGAGACAAAGAGAGAAAATGGAAGAGTGTTGGGGTGTGTCATTACTATGCACCAATGTGCAGATATGCTCACATTTGAGATGAATGACAGTGAATGGTTATCAAAGTCTTTCCGAAACTGTTTAAGAGATAATTTCAGTAGACCCGTAGCTTCTTGTCTGTCTCTAGCTATAGTGGTATCAAACAGAAGCACTCCATTTCCTCCAGGTGCCTGGAGCATCTCCTCACCACCCCCACACACGTATGCATCCCCCTGTCACCTTTAGCACCTTGGAACCCACTATCCCAGTCAGAGCAAAGACAATAGATTCAGTCTCATGCCACCATCCTGCTCTGCTATTGAAAACCAAGTTTGAACTAAATCCTTTCATTGTTCTTTGGGCCATAGTTTCCCTCAGTCTGTGTCCATCTCTAGTACAGTGTTTGCTGTCTTGCTAGAAAGGACAGAGCCAAGAGTCCATCTCAAGTTCCTGTGCCCCTAAAGTACATGTCTTCGCTTCTAAGTAATGAAAGGAACGTTTCCACATAAATCAAGCAGATTTTTTATTTCATCTTGCTGAATGCCTTGATGAACTCTCGACATTACAAAAGGAGTTCTTGACTAATTCAATAAGCATGATTTTGGAACAGGTGAAAATCTCAGCTTAAGCAAAATGACTCCTCACTGACAATGCATACAGCCTAGAATCTCAATTTATACTTGGGAGGGACTGAGCACTCCATTAATATTTACAGAAATTAACTTTTGCCCATGTCTATTTCTGATCAAACAGAATTGGATCAAAAATGGTATGGTGTAATCAACTGTGTAGCCATAGACAGGCTGAATGACCTCCTGAAGTCACTGCATGGACAATGGTACAATCTAACAATTCTTTTTTTTAAAAAAAGATTTATTTATTTATGCATACAAGAGCTGGGGTACAGGCCAGAGATGCGGGGGATGAGAGGATTCACCAGAGACAGAGTGGGGAACAGAACAGGCAGACTGACTGAAATACACTGCTGAGGGGAGCAGCAGGCATGACAGGAGAGGTCTGCATGCCACGTTGGTATCTCCCTGGCTGGCCAGGAATCAAACCCACGCTGCTGGGGCTGCGGACAGCTTCACAGCACTGCGCTCAACCCGCTGTGCCACTGGGGAGGCCCCAATCTAACAATTCTTAAGCGCACTGTGCCAAGTATACTGCCAATTACTTTACATGGATGTACATACATGACTCTGAGTGCATCTGAGAAGACTTCATATGGTAAAGCATTCTTTTCAAAGTGCAACATTAATCCAGTTATTTAAAAAAAAGAACAGAACTATTGGAACAAAGGTTAAAAATAAGGTGGTTCAGGAGACAAAAAGAGGCTTTAAATAAGAAATGAAAATAGAACAAGAAAAAGGATTGACATAGGGGCTATAAAAGACAAACCAAAGAAATAGGAGATAGTAAATTTAATAAGAGGGATGGAATTCCAAACGTAGGGTTAAGCATTTAAAAACATAAGCAAAATAAATGTTTGACATAGAGAAAAATTAGAAGTGGAGTACTAGTGAGACAAGAGATTAAACCGTGATTAAACCATGCAAGAGATATAAAGTTCAGATTGATACAACTTAATCTAAGTGCTTGAATTCAAGAACCAACAAGACAAAGACACAATGAGAGGACAGGAGAAGAGTGAACCAACTCTTACTCCCACCTGCAGAAGATGAGAGGGTCTGTTTTGCAGTACCCCCCACCCTTGTTCCTTGTACTGAGCTGTGTGTGTATATACACCTGTCTAATAGGTAAAGAATAAAAAAAAATAGAAAAAAATGCAATACATGTTGTTTCTATATTTTCTAAATTTCTATGTTTCCTCCAATATTATGTCTTTTTAAAAAAAAAATGCCTAGTTAGATACCCTAATATATTTTGTGAGGGAAATTAATTTTTTTGCTCATTGGTATATGGAAGCTCTAATAAAAAGTTATGTGTGGGTTCTTAGGCAAAAGGAAGGGTAAGAATCTCTCATTCACTAAATTTTAATTTATATTGTTGGCTCATTGTGTATGTATTGTTTTCATAAAGTGTATTTCTCTCCAATAAAGCAAAATAAGGGAAAAAAAAAAGACCTTAAGCAAAACTTCATGACAGTGAAAAAAGTCATGACAGTGTTGGTAGCCTTTTTTGAGTCATAAAATGCTTAGAAAATCTAGTGTATGTCATGGATTTACTCTTCAGAAAACCCTGAATACATGAAACAGTTACACATGCATGCTGTTTCAGGCGTTCACCAACCTCCTGGGGCCTACAAATTTTGGCTATGGATCCTGCTCTCACAGGTCATTCTTAGGGGACTATCCTTGGTTTCTGAGAAGCAATAGTTGAAACTAAAATCACGTTCAATTCAATAGGCTTTAATTGCTTATGAGTTTTGTTGCATAAGAGTTGCCAAGTATCTTCTGATATCATTATTGAAGTATGCCCAGAAGTACAAAGATCAATTTGATAGCACGTATCCTTAGAGTCAAAGTCTCTTGGGAGTTGACTGCAGAAAAAGGGAAGGTATTAGTACATGATGATAAATGCTAAAATGCTGGCAGAAAGGGATATGAAACTAATGAAAGAAAAGATGAATTTCCAAATCAGATAGTGGAGAAATTAAAAAGAGGGAAAATTAAAAATAAAATTAGCAGAATTATTCCTAACATAGCAATAATTATGTTAAATATAAATGATGTAAATTCACCAATTAAAAGACAAAGATAGAAAGAATGAAAAGATATTACCCACCTATACGTTATTTGTAAAAAATTCATTTAAAGTATACTGGTATAAGTAGATTCAGGCAAAAAAATACATACCATACAAATACTAATCAAAAGGGAGCTGACATGGCTATATAACATCAGGTAAAGTTCAGGCAAAGAAAATCACTATGGATAAAGAGGGACATTATATATTGATTTTTTAAAAAGTCAGTTCATCAAGATGACATAACAATTTCGATGTATATGCAACAAATAGTTGAGCTGCCAAACACATAAAGAGAACTAAAACACCAGAACTAAATTGAGAAAAAGAGAAACTGGAAATCATAGCTGAAAACTTCAACATGCCTCTTCTAGTAATTTATAGAATCAGTAGACAAGAAGTTAGCATGGATATAGAGAAATGAAACAACACAATCATTCAATAAGATCTAGTTGACACAGGAGGGCCTCCCTGGTGGCACAACGGGATAAGACACAGCACTATGAAGCTATCCTGCAGCCACTGCAGCACAAGTTCGATCCCTAGCCAGGGAGGTGACTCACATGGCACAGCAGACCTCTCCTGTCTTGCCCACTGCTCCCCTCAGCAGTCTATTTCAGTCAGTCTGTCTGTTCTGCTCCCCACTCTCTGGTGAATCCTCTCACCACTCCCCATACCTCTGGCCTGTCCCCCAGTTCTTGTATGCATACATAAATAAATCTTAAAAAAAAAAAAAAAAGATCTAGTTGACACATACAGAACAATCTGCCCAACAAGAGAAGAATATACATTTTTTTAAAGCATGCACGGGACATTTGTCATCTGTGCAAGACAATCTTTGTTAGGTCCCATATTCTTTAAAACTGCCACCTACCAAACTTGAGAGACTTAGAGAGATCTGACTCCTTTTCCTCTCCCTGCTCTCCAGGTGCTGGGGTCCATTTTAGATTAGCTTGGGAAGCACATGAGACCTCAAGGTTGTGACTGAACACATAGGCATGTGTTTAAAATATTGCAGGTATTTCTAGGAAACTAAACTAACATTTGTTGTGTACCTACTAAAACCATTTAAATGCTGACCAGCCACCATCTTCACAACCACCTCACACAGTATTATCTCTCAGCAAGCAACCTGAGTTGAGAGGCGGGAAATCAGCTGAGGATTCTCCAGAGAACATTGAATATTGGAGGGAATTTTAAGGAATTCAGAGTGACCAAGGCTAGAGAACCATAGCAGGAAGGGGTGGAGGAAGGCTGGGTCAAGGAGGGTTAGATGTGGCTCCCTAAGGACTCTAATTTGGCAGGCAATGGGAGGTACTAAGAAATTTCAAGCAGAGGAACAACATTTTAAAAGAATTGCTTTAGTGAGAAAAGATAGCAGGGAGAGGAGACTCAAGCTGAAGAACCCAGTTAAAGTGATTGTGGGGGCAGTCCACTTGAAAAGTGGTAAGAATTTAGATAATATTATCATCATTTTGTTAGGGGGAAAAAGATGTCCTAAAGCCAGGAACCCGTTCAATATCGGGGCTGCTCTGTAACAATTTTACACATGGGAGATGTAGCACTGGGAACGGAAGGTATATAGCATTTCTTCCCCAAGGATAATAATATTAAAGAGGACAAAGTGGTCATATTACAAAGAGCATGTTCCAATGTGCCAGTCACACTCTTAGTAGCATATTTAACAGGCTGCACAATTAAATGAGTTCAAGAATGTAATATGCCTGGCACACTTACACAGTGACTTGCAATATTTCACCCCTAAAAATATTGCAGAAATAAATTCTAGCCTTTTACCCAGGCATGGGAAGAGCAAGTGATACTTCAGGAATGGTGAGGGCAGGAGAAGATTTATTCCTCATGCATGAGGTCCCAGACCTGGGTAGTCCCATAAGATCTGAGCACCGGTCTGGGGACAACGGGTTTCTTTTATACATAACCATCTTACACTGATAACACTGGTTAGTTAGTGTACAAATTCTTGACACAGGAAAAGGGGAAGGACACGGATCTTTGAGGATGGCCCAGGAGATCAACCTGCCTAGCAGGCTGCCAGACCTTGGTTAGATATGCTTATTAAGGAAGCAAACTTGTTATTTGCTTTACATTTCCAGGTATATGACTCCTGAACAGGGAAAGATTTCCTTTTCTTAGCAGTCCCCTTTCAGAAAGGGCAGGGGAGTCACCCCAGTTGCCCGTGAGGTTCAAAACAGGTTTTCCCAATTTACAGGCAGGAAGGCACAGCCACCCACCCCCGCACGGAAGGTCCTTGCCCTGCAGGTCAGAGTCAGGACCTCCGCCCTCTCCTACCGGCTGAATGTCCTCATGCGACTTCTCAAAGTCCAAGAGGAAGAAGTTGCCAAAGACGGGCAGGCCCGGGGGTCCTGGCGGGTAATTCTTTGGGTGCCTTCTTTTGAGGAAATGAGCAAGGAGCAGAAACACCACGGCACCCAACAGCAGCGTGCGGAGATGGAGCCCGCCCCAGAGGGCGGCCGCCAGGGAGTCCATCGCTGAGGGCGCGCCCGGGACGCCAGCAAGCTCTCCGCGCTCTGAGCAGGAGATGCCACTGCCTGGCTTTGCTCTGCGCTGGCAACACCGCCAGCCCCAGCCCGCCTCTACCCGCCCCGCCCCGGCCCGCCCCGCACCTCGCGCGCTCTCCCCAGCTCTCCCTGGCAACTCTCATTTGCGCTCCAAAGGGACGGATCCATTTCCAACTTTTGGCCCCGCGGACTTAGGGCGCGCTCAGCCAACCTTTCTGCTTGCCGGATGGGTCCCCTCCGCCCCCAGGCACCCTGCGGCCCCTCCTCTCCACCCCGGGCCTGGCGCTGGATTCCCGGGCGAGCCCGTACCCATCTCTGAGTCTTTCTCTGAGACCTTGGGGCTCTCGGGTTTCTGGTTCCAATGCATGTCCCAGAGCGCCACAGATAATTGAGTTTCGTGTTTTTAAACAACCATCTCACCCGCTGATTGGAACCGTGCCTGGTAAATAGTAGTCTGGAAGACATCAGGGCACTTTTATGTCGCACCCCCTTGCTCCCAGGCAATGCTTCCTTCTGACAAATGTATGCAGCACAGCAAGTGCGCTGCCTATTCCCATCTTGCTGTTGAGCAATCGGAGACAGGTTAAGTACTACATACATGGTGCATAAATGAATTCAGCGACCTGCCACACATCTGAGAAGGCCTTGTTTTTGTAGCAATTTTGCAAATTTGAAAGCATTGCATCAAAGCTCCTGGCAGTGACCCTAGTCCTCAGTAGGTGCTCGGTTAACACTGAAGGAAAGTATATAAAGGCAACCTGTAGAAAGGCATAAAATATTTGCAAACTATATTACCTGATACGGAGTGAATATATAACATGTGTCAGGAACTCCTACAACTTAAGACAACAACAAAATAATCTTATTAAAATATGTGTTAGGGCCTCCCCTGTGGCGCAGCGGTTGAGCACCGGGTTGCGAAGCTGCCCGCAGCCTCTGCAGCGCCGGTTTGATCCCCGGCTGCTCCCCGGCCACAGGAGGAGGGTCCCACATGGCGGGCAGACCTCTCCTGCCGCCCGCTGCTCCCCTCAGCAGTGTACTTCGGTCCTTCTGCCTGCTCTACTCCCCGCTCTGGCTCTGGTGAATTCTCTCACCCTCCTGCGCTTCTGACTGTACCCAGTGTTTGTATAAACAAACAAACAAACAAACAAATAAATATTAAAAAAAAATAGGTCTTTCTCTAAGAAAGTATGTGGAAATGACCAGCAGATTTATCTTTATAAATCCCAATCACTAATCGTAATGGAAATGCAAAATAAAAATACAGGCTTGGATTTATGACATCACCTAATGCATGTGTCTGCTAAGGACAGGTAACCCTTGACACATTTTAAAAACAGTTTTAGAAATCATTTTAATGTGAGGAGGGTGATATAGGGAAATCAGGGCAAAGTGGGAACATGAAGGAAGTTATTCATCCATTCAGTGGTGAAGACAGGATTCAGACCCAGGAGAAATGTGATGGTCACCACCTTCAAGTTCTCTCTCTCTACCTACTTTTAGTTCCCAGTTGTCCTGTTGCCATGTCCACCCTTGAGACTTAATGTTCTTACCTATAAAGTGAAGGGTTTGGGATCAAGCTACATGCTTTTGTAAAGCAAATAGGTTTACAAGATCCGCCAGTGACTGCATTGCCAGGTCCCATGGAATGTCATTGTGCATTTTGATGGCGAACAGATTAGAACCTGTCCTGAAGAATCTCAAAGATTAGTTAGTGGGGTATAAAATTCCGTTTATTTCTGAAAACTGCTTTCTCCCAACACAGAACAGTGCATGGGACTTCAAGTATTTTTTGGAAAGCTCAGGATAAATCTTTTTTATTTATTTATGCATACAAGAGCTGGGGTCAGGCCAGAGACGCAGGGGTTGAGAGGATTCACCAGAGATAGAGTGGGGAGCAGAAAAGACAGACTGACTGAAATACATTGCTGAGGGGAGTAGCAGGTGAGGCAGGAGAGGTCTGCTGCATCATGTGGGTTGCTCCTGGATCGAATGCGTGCTGCAGATTGCTTCACAGTGCATTGCTTAACCCCTTGGGCCACCAGGGAGCCCCAGCCCCCCTCCTTCCGCTCAGGAGAAATCTGAGGGACTTTCTGAACTGAAACGGAGAGCTTTGGGGTTATGATGAGTTGAGAGCCCCCTCATGTGGTCATTCCTGAAACTACAGCATCAATAGGCCATTGATAAGACTCTGGATATGAAAGAATTTTTATAGAGAACATCCATTGTTTCTACTGATCACGGAATAAAAGCTTGTCAGCAAGCATGGCATTCCTAGCCTTTTGTAATCTGGAGCCAGCGAATCTTTCCTTTTGGTTGCATCCTCTCTGTATTCCCTGCACATATTAGGCACATTCCTCAGCCTGGGCTCTGCAGATATGATTCCATGGCCTGGGATGACAATTACCTCCTTTTTTACCAGAAGAAATCCCCATAACCTTTTGAAAACACTTCTAAAAATTTCTGTGTGATATCTGCGTCTCTACCAGCAAGAGCTTGAGTTATTTTGGGAGGAATGCAACGTTTCTTTTGACTTTGCATCCTACAGACCCTAGGATTGTGCAACCTGCTAGCAGGTATTTAAAAAAACAGAGAACAACTAGTTCAGGCACCGTATTTCTGACTTTGATTACTGAAACATCCTCTTAAAGGGTTTCCCTGCCTCCCTTTGCTTCTTCAATACGTTTTCTCTGTCAATCATTCTTCAAACAGTTGCCAAAGTGATGATTAAAAATCAACATCCATAACCCACTACTTTACACAAAACCCTCTGCTGTATTTGCATTACTTGCTGGTGTGGCCAATAATGGTTTGATGATGCACAATTATTTGTAAAATACTTTTCAGCATGCACTCGCAAAATAGATTTATTTAATTATTTATAAATCATATATACATGCTACGATAGTCATAAATATGTCATAAAACACATAGAATAAAAAATAAAAGTTCAAATATGAATATACAGTATTTTGATTAACAGCATAAAAATATTATTGCATTAATAATCATATTTTATGGTGAGAGCAATGTAGTTGGATGTATTTGATTATTATTGAAACACTTTCTTTAACATTGTGTTCATTTAGTCCATCTGGGTTCTTCATTTTAATGTCTGTTATAGCAACAATAACAGGAGTTCAAAATTTTTTTCAGCATCACAACAGAGAGTTTTGTGCAATCCTTGATGCAAATACAAAATCCACATTGGAAACTACTTATCTAAGGCACAGGATTCGAATTCTCCAAAATGGCATTTGGGAGTCTTAAAGGCTGGTTCAACCTACCTCTTCACCCTGATTCTGAGCATTAGTCCTCTATTCCTGACACTTGATCTCAGACCTACTGAATAACTTATAAAGTCCATGGCTGCACCTTACACTTTCAAGCTGTTCTTGGGCCAGTTGCAGACCAAGCAAGGTAAGGTAAGGAAATCTCAAGTTTTCCTACAAAGTCTTGAGAACATTTGCTTTGTTGCTACAGGTTGACATATTGATCAAAGTTTCCCTGAAATCTTCATGAACTTTCAGCAAGCTCTTTTGAACCACCCACTTCAATTCCTCAGACCAAGCCTTCAACCTTCCTGACATTTACTTTCCCAGTTATTCCCATGGATATATAAGTCCTTAACTCATCTGCAAACTCTTACACCTGGAATACATGGTATTGTTTCTGTTTTGATAACCCAACTCTGACACCTCGTGTGTAGTGAGGTATAGAGAATGAGCTGGACGGTTGTGCTTTGACCACATGTAGGTACCTATTCATCCCCAAATGCAAGTGCTCCCAGATTTTTCATTGCTCCCATTTCTCTGGGTCAGGACGAGGGGCTGGGTTGAGCAATATGTTCATCTCAGTTCCATGTGGTGCTGCCTGAACTGGCTTGAATTGATTATCAATCAATGGTTTCATTAACTGTGAAACCATTAAATGGTTTCATTAAAATCCTGGTGGCTTGATGCTGGCAGTCTGCTGGGGCACCTCAACCTTCTCCCCATGGTAGTGGCCTAGTTTGTGCTTCTTTCCTTAGTCAAGATGGTAAAAGCAGAAGCTGCAAGGCTCATTAAAGCCTGAACCTTGATTGGCACAGCATTGCTTTGCTGCATTCTATTGGTCAAAGCAAGAAGCCAGATCAAATTGAAGGAAGAGGAATAATCTTTCTTGTAAAATGAAGAGGCAAATTCACTTTTTTCTTTTAATTTTTGCATGGAAGAACTGGGTACAGGCCAGAGGTGCAGGGGGTGAGAAGATTCACCAGAGACAGAGTGGGGAGCAGAACAGGCAGACTGACTGAAACACATTGCTGAGGGGAGCAGCGGGCGAGACAGGAGAGGTCTGCTGTGCCATGTAGGTCAGCTCCCTGGCCGGGGATTGAACTTAGGCTGTGGCAGTGATAGCTCTGAGACTTAACCCCTAGGCCACCAGAAGGGCCCCAAAGTCACTTTCTAAAGACTATGGGAGGAAACATTGCAGGCACTTTTAAAAACAATCTCCATACCAGATGAGGAAACTGAAGCATGGAGTGGTTAGATAACTTGCCCAGCGCCACTCAACTGCTAAGTAACAGGACCAAGCTCTCACTCTGATCAGTTTGATGCCTATGTTCTTGTTCTTTACTGCTATATTATAATGCCTTCCCTTTTATTGGTGACTAAAATTTTTCCTGCCTACATGTTTGAGTGTTCAATTTATTTATGGATTTGAAAAACTCTGAAAAATGCCACTTTCCCTAATATCTAAGCTTAAAGTAAATACTTCACCAACTTACTCTTCCATAGTAATTTTTTAAAGGCCCCTCACATTAAAAAGTGAAGCAAAAACAACACAAACTAATGAAAAACCAATAAATCCCCCCCAAATACCCCGTATCTAAGATAACAAATCTGGTAGCATCTCTGAATATCATGTCTAAATATTTTAGTGTATGTTTTCTTTATTTTTCACATAAATCTGTAACTGAGCTTGGGTCCTATTTATCTCTTATCTCTTGTCTCATAGAGCATAAGATCTAGTGCATAGAGTTAACTAACAGATATTGAATGAATGAATATGTAAATGAGACTACCCTATTTTTGAAAAAAGAAAAAAATTCTAACTTCTGTGTACCAGGAAATGTATTTCCATTAAAAGTAAGCTCTACTTCCATATGATCCAGCAATTGCACTCCTAGGTATTTACCCAAAGGACACAGAAACATCAATTCCAAAGGGCACCTGCATCCCTATGTTTATAGCAGCACTATTTACAATAGCTAAGCTATGAAAACAACTCAAATGCCCAAAAACAGATGACTGGATCAAGAAGATGTGGTACATAGATACAATGGAATATTACTCAGCAATCGAAAAAGATAAACTCATGCAGTTT